CAACTTCAGCATAAAGGATGCCAGGCAGAAAATGAAGTGGGAGGGCATTGGATATGACTGTCATCAACAGACATCTCCAGGCTGACTGTGAAGCGGCATCTGTGTGGGCCCTTGCCTTTGTCAGACACGCTGCTTAAGAGTCAGGGAGCAGGTACAAGTCTGAGACCTCAAGCAGCCATGCATGCTGCCGTGGGCTGGGTGTCCAGTGAGTGGCGTAGACCCATTCGGACCTCTGGCCTCTACAACTGTAAGATAACAACTTTTTGTTGTTTTAAGCCACAAAGAAACCGATATAAGGATGCTGAAAAAAGGGACAGAAGAATTGGGGGTCAGCTCCATGGAGGAAGTGGGTCTTGAGCCAGGTATTAAGTACAATGAAGTCAGCTGGGCACAGTRGCACATACCTGTGGTCCCAGCTGTTCAGGAGGTTGAGGGAAGAAGAAGGCTTGAGATGAGGAGTTCAAGGCCAGCCTGGGCACCATAGCAAGACCCCGTCTCAGAACAACAACAACCATAACAAGAGTAGCAGTAACAATTCAAATTCATGTTCTAGGTACTGAGCTAAGCTTTTTAGTGCCCTTTTAATTCATCTATCCTCCTGGAAACTGAGAAGATAATGTTCTTCCCCCATGACTCCATGATGTAGGCGGAACGGATCTGAGGCTTAGGTTAAATACGTCGAGTGGCGTTAGTCSCTCCAGCTGGTTGCCACCTGGCCTTCTCACAGTTGTTATGGAGCGCTTGCAGGACTCAGGTCACATGCTGACGGTGTCACTGCCATTGCCTCGGTTACCCCGTAGGATTTGTAGCAGGTCGTGACTCCTAGTCTTTCTGAGGCCTGGATTGATCTGGCCAGCAGTGTGGCTGGGTCAGTACAGAAGACTGGAACCAGAAAATTCAGTCAAGACACGACAGTCCAGACGAGCTAAGAACCCAAGATGAGGATGGAAACAATGGGCAAGGGAAGGAGGGAACATTCCAGAGACAAGCCGCTGCTTTGTTGGAACCTAAATCTTGCACTGAGAAAACTCTCCTGCCTCTCACCCCCCTCCCTGTGGTGAGGATGCTRCATTTCATTGAGGTCAGGCACCTTTTGATCAGAACGAATGGAAGATGCTGAAAGGTGTCACATTGACCAGSAGTGGTCCAAGCCTTTCCACCTGCCCACAGAAACCAGGAAGCAGCCACATAGACACTTCTGTAATGGGTTCCTTTTTCTCTTGCAGTGGCCACTCTCAGAGAGCCTCTTTAAATTCTTGGCTTTTTCATTCAAGAGAGCAACTGTGTGGTCAACAAGAATAGTACATACTTATTGAAAAGCTACCATTTAAAAGGGCAACAGTCCCAGGCACGGTGGCACACACCTATAATCCCAGTTGCTCGGGAGGCTGAGGCAGGAGGATAGCAAGTTCAAGGCCAGCCTCAGCAACTTAGTAAGACTGTGTCCAAAGGAAAAGAGGGGACTGGGGATGAAGCTCTGTGTTAAAGCTCCCCTGAGCTCAATCCTCAGTACCATGGACCCCCCCAAAATAGTCACTGTGGGAATCTCAAGTAAATAAAAGTCAGTTCTGAAACACCCAAACAAAGGTGTCCAAATGGAATTAGAAAGGGGARGTGAATAGGTAGTATCAGGAATTTTTGTACAATGAGCGTTATTAGCTTATATATTTTTTTCAGTTTTCTCTGCCTAAATAAAAGAGTCATTTAAAATTTGTAGAAAAGCCCTTGAAATTCTGATATCAACATGTAAAATTCCACCTGTAGAAAATCAACATTCCTATCTTTTAAGTAGCCATCAAAGTTAGACTCATGTGCCCTGAATATCTGTGTCATTTAATGGATGTGTTCATTTATTTAATCTGTTTATCACAGGACAACAGGTAAATGACATTGTTGTAAATACAGACGTGTGTTGCCCAATGATGGGAATATGTCATGAGTAGAAGGAATATACTCTAAAATAATAAAAAGTATAGTAAACACATAAACCAGTAGTAATGTGGTCATTTATTATTAAGTTATTATGTTGTATGTGATTGTACGGGCTGGACTTTTACATGCGTGACAGCACAGTAGGTTTGTTTACACCAACTTCACCACAAACACATGGATAACGTATTACACTGTGATGATACTGTGACGGGTACGATGCCATCAGACAATAGGAATCCATTAAAATCTTATGGGACCTCCATCATATATGTGGTCCACCATTGACCAAAATGTCCTTATGTGGCACCTGACTAATTCCTTTTCGGACTTAATGGAATCTTTAGTTAAGTGATACAAAATAGGTAGGACTGGTCCATGTTTTATTTGATTTATTTATGTTTTAAATTTATTTTTGTGGTAAGGATTAAACCTAGAGTCTCATGCATGCTAGACAAGCATTCTACCACTGAGCTACATCCCCAGCTCTATTTATTTTGTTTTGAGACATGGTCTTGCTGAGTTGCCCAGGCTGGCCTTAAATTTGTGATCCTTCTGTCTCAGCCTCCTGAGTGGCTAGTGCATACACTGTGCCTGGCTGATCTATCTTTTAAAAATAATATGATAAGCCAGGCATGGTAGCACACATCTGTAGTCCCAGCTACTCAGGAGGCTGAGTCAGGAGATCGTCTGAAAGCAGCCAAGTCAATATATCGGGAACCTAAAAAGTCATCTGTATACTCCCAAACTGGAACTAGACAGTAATGCTTGGGAGAATGCTACGGAATCTCTTCATAGATCGTACTCTTCCTAAATTAGAGAGGCCTTGCTACTCTGACATGAAGTRAAGGACAGATTCCCTTTACCTTACCTCCTCCTTCTGGTGAGTGCACCTTTGTTCATTCATGGAGACCGAGTCTTCCCCTGTTCAAAGAATGAGACCTCTCATGGCTGACTTCAGTTAGTAAGGTCAGTCTCTACCCAATGAGGTTTGATTTTTCTCTTCAGTTAAGTGATCAAAGCCAAGTCATCAAAGCCTGAATACTTACAACAGATTCTAATAAATTCTGAGTTAGCTARTCTTATTAGTTTTAATCAGAGTAGAAAGATTTTTGTCATCTCTGTCTGAAAGTAGGTGTCATATTCTTAGATTCAGAGTCCTCATCCGTGGGATCTTTCCAGCCTTTGCCGAAAAGTTGTCCCTACCAGAGCAGGAACTGTGTCTGTGTAAGAGATGGGACGCCTCAATACACAAACATTGTACCCTCCATATCTAGATTACTCAGAACCAGAAGTTATCATGAAAGTGTGGATCGTCTGGGGTTCTTGGAGTGTCTGACAAGCAGCAGCTTCCTGTCACTTCCCTAGAGGCTCTTCAGTCACCTGGATGCACTGTGGGACCCCGCCCCCCTCCAGCCCTCCGTGTTCATGCACTTGCACACACAGAGCCATCAACAGACCTGTGTCAGCTTGGCTTGGTTTTGTCTGTGTTCTGCTCATAGGGTATTCTTCCACTTCCTCAATTAGCTTTACTAACCCAGAGGCATGGGTGAGTGCAGCAGAAAATGGGGGTGTTTGTCTTGCATGTGTGCGTGCATGTGTGACATCCCAAACCAGCAGGCTTCCCATGGTTACCCAGCCGCCTGCCCTCACATTGTAAGAATCACTGCTGGTCTGGAGTGACCTAATCCATCAGGCTCTACCTGGTGGGTCCCCAGAGTTAGTACAGTGTGTACAGTATTTGGCATGTAAACTTGAGAGTTAAGGCATTTTATTTTGTTTTTATTTTTATTATTTTTATTTAGAGACAGRGTCTCACTGAGTTGCTCAGGGCCTCGCTAAGTTGCTGAGGCTGACTTTGAACTCGTGATCCTATTGCCTCCGCCTCCCAAGCTGCTGGGATTATAGGCTGTGCACTGTTTCCCAGATGAGGCATTTTATTTAATAAGTTTTTCATAGAAATGGTGAGCCTTTAAGCTAGTGAGTTATTCACATCTGAATATGCAAAAATTCAGAAAGCCCACAAGTGTATTCTCTCATAATTATTTAAAAATTAGAAACTAAAAAAAGGGAGGTGGGATATTTCTAAAGAGTATTTCATTTGAAATAAGCAAAATTCTTACGCTTTGAGCCCAGTGTAAAGTCCAAATGAAATTTCCATATTTGCTATTGATCTGTTCTCATTTTCTGAAGGGGATTTTATCCAAATGTTTTGTTATTCTTGGCAGAAAAGCAAAGCCTGGATCTGCCCTCTGTGATTTGTTTTGCTCAGTCTTGACTTTTTGGACCAAAATACTAACCACTCATTTTTGCCAGAAATTTTGCCTTCCACTGATGTTTTTCTTRACAATTGCACAATGTTCTTGGCTATTGTAAAAAAATTACTTGGCTTCATATGTAAGTATATAAAATATAAGTATTTTTAAAGTGCAAGTATATAGAGCACACAGAAACAACATATAGACTAATGTATATTCAAGCAAAAAGACCGTGCTATCCAGTTTTTATATTTTGAGGGGGGAAAAAAATCCAGCCAAGAACATTTGTTGCAGTTTGTTTCCCATTGTCAGGAGATAGGGAATGGAAACTATCTAAGTAGTGGATAATTTCCCCTTACCCTCAAATTATCAACTCTTTGAACTCCTGGGAGTAACATTTTTTTAAACATTGCATGTGCATATTTACATAGGAATCTAATACAACACTGAGCCTGGATTTAGAGGACCATGTTTAAAATGTCCTCTAACAGTTCATCAAGTTCTTTTCTTGGATTTTATTCACTCATTCAAGAGAGAAGTACTGTGGGAAGGCATTTGTATTTTCTTAGAGCAGAAAGTACGAAAATGACGGCAGAATTTCCTGTTTCAACCGAGAATGGAGGAGGGCTGGGAGCTATTTGCTTCCCGCGTGGCTACATTCCAGCTGTGCAGACTGGTCATAGCACATCTGCCAATCAGAATGGGCCCTGGAGGGAAGCCTTTGGATGCTGGGGCTTGCTGACACACATTGCAGCGTGACTCTGTTTCTCCTTGGCTCTCCTCTGTCACACCACTGTGGAGACGAGTGGAGGAACTTGCTATTGACTAAATAAACTACAAACCTCGGGTCATAGCCACAGCGAATGACTTTCCAAGCACTTTTAGCTCATCTTGAGCCACAGGTAAGAGTTGTCTCTTTGTTATTTGCAGATAATTGATCTCTCTCCAGTTTCTAGCTTTACTTTTGTTAGCAGAACTTACTAAAGAGGAGTGATTTTTAGAGAAGATTGAAGTACACCCAGTATGACCATGACTTTAATACTCAACAAGTGAAAACCTCGATGTTTGAATTTAAGGACGGGACCAAACCAAATTAAATTAAAAGTCTTAAATGGCATGGGTAAATCAGTGTGGAGAAATTAGAACCAGAAACGTGAAAATTGTGAGATTGGAGAGCATCGTATCTAAACAGATGTGTTCTATTGTGAGTCTTCCTGTTTAGTGGTTCCTAAAACAGTGTTTTAATGTGTACTCACTCTTTGGCTTAACATTTTTTTAACCCATTCATAAAGAATTGATACATAGATTTAATTGTGAAAACCCTGTTCCTTTTCTTCCCTCTTTCTAGTTCTAGGGAACATTTACATTGTCCTCTTTCACTGCTCCACCAGCAATAAAAATAGGGGGGAAAAGTTACTTCTAATCTTTCCTTTGCTATTAATTAATTAATTAGCATTAATTCTGAAGGTATTATAGGAACCTGTGTTTAGATAATATTCTGTAAGATATATTTAAAAAATAAATTGATGGGCTGGGGATGTGGCTCAAGCRGTAGCGCGCTCGCCTGGCATGCGTGCGGCCGGGATTCGATCCTCAGCACCACATACAAACAAAGATGCTGTGTCCACCGGAAAAAAAACTAAAAAATAAAAATATTAAAATTCTCTCTCTCTCTCTCTAAAAAAATAAAATAAATTGAACAGAAAGAACTCTGTCGGGGCTGGGGATGTGGCTCAAGTGGTAGCGCGCTCGCCTGGCATGCATGCGGCCCGGGTTTGATCCTCAGCACCACATACCAACAAAGATGTTGTGTCCGCCGAGAACTAAAAAAAAAATAAATATTAGAAGAAAAGAATTCTCTCTCTCTCTCTCTCCTTTCTCACTCTTTAAAAAAAAAAAAAAAGAACTCTGTCGTCATTTGTATATTATCTTCTGTCGTTAATTTTTCCACACCACTGAGGCCTTTTGCTTCATTTGTTTTTTATTTTTCAGCATGTACAGGGGAAGAAGTAGTTGCAATAGTTACTCAGACTCAAAAACAGACAGCTTGCAGATGTTGTTGTTGTTTCTCTTGTATGTGATTATYTTCAGGTTGATTGATGGCACTTTTTAGCAGTCCAGAGAAACACTTTTGAAAACTTCAAGCAGCTTTGCTCTTACTTATTATCCTGAAGTGGGATTTCTCACATTTGGGGCAAGATCATTATTTGGGGGGATTGTCCTATGCATCGTAGGACACAGTAACATTGTCTCTGGTCTTTACCCATTAGAGTGCCTTTCTCCCCAGTGTGACAGCACCCCCCCCCMAAAAAAAATAAAAATGTTTATAGATAGCTTGTTATACCTAACTACTGGTGAAACATGGAAATCAACTTCTGAGATACCCTGGATGGGACAGAGTTAAGGATGAGGCTGTGTTGGTCTCAGTGTATTTGCAGATGTTGTAACTGACGGCTCATTTTTCCCTCTTCCCATTCTGTTAGAAGCTTCTGCCAACTATGATTCATGGGATGATTTTTTGGAGCTGAGTAATCTGTGGCTTTTCAGTTTCCTTACTTTGCTTCCTTGGCTAAATCTGTTTGGGTTTTAGCAAAGTGTTTAACACAGCAAAGATCTTTTAAAATGAAATAATACATGTCATGACATTTTTTCAAGCACATGATTTTAACAAACCATAGAAGTTTTTCTGCCTGTCCTTCCTGGATCCTGTCCTCCTTCTCTTCCCTGGTGAGTCCTCCACCCTGAGCACCATGTGGGGAGGGCGTGGCCACCTGAGCAGTCCTTTGTGAAATCTGATGTCAGGGCAGCCAATGTTTAAAAACATCTTCCAGTGGCTCCTAAAGAGCATTTGACTTACAATTGTCTTCTTTCCTTACAGATCGCAACGAACGAAATAAACCAGAGCACCGTTCTGCCAGGTATGAATCTATGGTCTTTAACTCTTCTGTGTATTTGAAAAACATTGTTTAGAGGCAACACAATTGTCCCTTTTAGGGTTACTGTATATTGGAATCTTCTGGACATTCAGAAAAGCTTTACAAGGGAAATGTTGTTCACTCTCTGAATAAATATTCTTTATAAAATTACCTCCTGAAAGATGTGTGTTACTTTGAGAATTCCTATCAGTGACAGATTATTTTATTCTCATTTCCTTCCTTTTCTGACTTGTTTTCCTGTCCTCTCTTTAATTACAATGTATATTACTGTTTTTCTGACTATAAAACTATTATGTTATCAATTATAGAAATGTATAAAACTTTTTTTAAAAACATGCAAAAACATCTAGCCTGCCTTCTATCAACTAGAGATGGCCATCTACTGCTAATATTTTATTGTATTTCTTTCTAGACTTAGGGGTGTGTGTGTGTGTGTGTACCTGTATGTATATATTCAAATGAATTCTCTTAAGTTCTTGTTAGATAATTTCAAATGGCCAGGGGATTACATCACATAAGACTCTGACCTACACTGAGTGTCGTTCCCATCCCCCACCCCTGCTGAGACCAGCACTGGTCACCAGCACTGAAGAATATTCCTAAAAATATTTTTCAACTTTTAAAAGTAGAAAGCTGTCTTGATATTCTCTCCTAAGTAAGACCGACAGAACTTTTTAACCTAGTTTTATGAAAGATTATAATTTTCTAATATTAATTCCTCCTTATTCTATCACTTTCTCTTTGCAGTTTATGTGATGGGGACTGATGAAAGGGTAATAATAGATTCATTAGGTTGCCTGGTATAACACAAACCTTGATACTCTTTCAAGAGATCAAACCCTAGAATGCTTAGACTTCAGGGAATAAAATATAAAATCTCTGTAAATTCCATTACTTAGCATGGAAATGCATTTTGCAGAAATTTCAATCATTATAAGTCAGTGAGACCTAATTGGGAGAAGAATATACCTGCATATTTAGCATCTGGACTAATGTTTTTCCAGATATAATTTATATATGTTAAATTTTACTCTTTATGTTGGTCCTGTGAGTTTTGATAGACATATCAAATCATGTGTCTACTACCACAATCATAAAAGAGTTTGCAAGATTGATTTTTAAAAACAATTTTTAAAAAATAATTTTAAAAAGGCAGCCTAAGAAGACATTGAAGACGTTAAAGAGCATGTGTAACTATGAATGACATGAAGTTGGAAGGGTTAAAAAGTTCAGATGATAAAACCATGATTCGTTAGTGTTTAATAGAAACACTTTGAAACACCAATGGAACATAAATAGATGGAGGAAGTGTAACTTAAGCAACATGTTGAAAAAAATCTTGATTTTTGTCAATCAATTCGTCAGGAATCAAGATTTTTATGATTCCTCCAAACCCTCCCAAGTGGTTTATACTGATTTGATTACATTGGAAGAAGTATAATACCTGGTATAAAATAAGTGGTAACTCTAGGCCACACTCACTGTTGATATTCTATCCAATCCTGGGGCCAYAAAACCTTGCAAAATCACAGTGTGCAAGAGCAGCTACATAGATGTCCATGAGGAACTTAAACAAAACAGCATCCCACAGCTAGTCCCAGAGAGTGTATTCAATTCATTAAGTCTGGAGTGCGTTCTCGAATTGTGCAGGTCCCCCAGTGATTCTGATGCAGAGCCRGGTGGCAGACCTCTCTGGACAAGAGAGTAGCAGCCAATGTTAGGGCAGGGAAAATGATGGAAAAGAGTCATGGAAAAGTCAAAGCTAAATCATAGGGAGTCTGGGTTAAAGAACTGAGGAAATTTAGCCTAGATTTGGAAGTTCTGGGAGATATTTGATACAGAAGTGGTGATTGGCTTCAGATACCTGGGGGCTGAAGAATTGTTCCTCATCTGGCACTTTGAGTAATAGCTGATTTCAGGTCTGGGGCAGGGAAAGTACACAATGAGGCTGGACTCCTAGCTGAGATAGGAAGTTAGGTGCTCAGCCAATGGGCTCTTGCCAAAAAAGACATAGGCCATAGCTTCCAGAGACTTCCATTAGGCTGGGAATGTGGCTCAGTGGTAGAATGCTTGCCTATCATGCATGAGGCCCTGGGTTGGATCCCAGTGCACCCAATAAATAAATAAAAAGGGGTTGGGGAGAAAGAGACTTCCACCAGTCAAATTTGGGACAATTTCAGGTTCAAAAACAAGATGATAATGGTTAAAATATGTTTTTAAAAATCCATGTAGAATGAATGATGAATTTTTAGAATATCATCATTCTGCAATTCTCAGTGTCATTGTTGGTAGGTGAGGGTCATCAATGGCAGCTAACCCTACTATAAAGATTTGTTGGGGAGGGGCTGGCCACGTAGCTTAGGCAAAGGCCTGGCCTAGTATGTGCAGGACCCTGGGTTCCATCTCCAACTCAAAACAAATTAAAAACAACAACAACAACAAAGAGTTGTTGGGGGCAGGCTTTAGAAGTTTACCCCATAGTTTAGTTTTTAATCACAAAATCAGGACATTTACTTTTTTAATGGATAGAGGTAGTGTCACCACCTTAATCCAGTGATCAACTTGTTAATCCTCACTTGTGAGACGGCATGGCCCTGTGAGCCTGTAGAAGATGCAGTCAGCGGTGCACACCGATGCACATGTGTAGTAGTCCCAGCCAGCAGAAAAAGGATTCCTTGAAAAACACAGAAAGGCTGGGGGAATATTATAGATTGAGACAGATCAAAGAGCCAGGTGTGTTGGTGCATGCCTGTAGTCCTGGGTACTAGGAAGCCTGAGGCAGGAGCATGGCAAGTTTGAGACCAGCCTGGTCAATTTAGATGAAACCCTGGCTTGGAATAAAAAACAATAGGGGCACCTTGGGTGATAGGGTGCCTTGGGTGATTGAGCATCCTTGGGTTTAATTCCCAGTATGGAAATGGGGCATGGCGGGGCAGAGAGACACTGATAACCAAATTCAATATGCATGTTTTTAAAAAAATCTGGAAATTTGGAAAATTCCAAATTTAAAAGAATTGTAGGGAGAGCAACTAGGAAATTTTAAATATGAAATCTGTTTTAGATCCTATTTATTAGCATCATTCCGAGGTATAGAATAGGCATATCCTTCTTAGAAGATAGATGCAGAGGAAGGGGAGAAACAGATAGATACAACTGTGGGGAAATATTAGTAGCTGGTTAATAGAAGACTAAATTGTATAGGTGTTTATTGTAGTGTTTCTTCAACTTTTCTGTAGACTTGAAAATTTCAGAATCCAAAGTAGCAATGAAGGGGCTGGGGTTGTGGCTCAGCGGTAGAGCGCTTGCCTCACATGTGTGAGACCCTGGGTTCGATCCTCAGCACCACATAAAAATAAATAAACAAAATAAAGATATTGTGCCCATTTATAACTAAACAAATATATATTTTTTAAAAACTATATTAAAAAAGGTAGCAATGAAGAGAAATTGCTCAGTGATGTTCCTGCCAGTCCCAGAGGGCCAAATGCGTGTCTGTGGGTGGCACGTGGAAGAAGGTGGACTTCTGCACACTGTGAGGAAGAATTTCCGGTTAGAAGTGATCAGAAAAGCAATGGTGACTCTGTGAGCTAATCCTGTCGAGGAAAGCCAAACATGCTGGCACTGAGGAAAATAGATTCCTGCATGGCTAAGTCATTGTTGTGGGTGGCCCGATCCCCTTGCTCACTTAGTAGCCAATAAATATTTGAGGAGGAGGGGGCTATTCTGGCTTCAGATAGAATAGAAAATGGGGAAGCATTCCCAGCTTCTTGAGCAACCATTATTTTGGATTTACACTCCTAATCTCTTGAGAGTCTATTTACACGGAAGTTAAGATCCAGGTCTTTACATTTCTATTTCAGGCTATGCTGTGGTACTCTTGAGGGTGTTTGGAAAGTATTCTGATTATTCTTTGCTCTCTCATTTATACAGTCAAGTTCTCTGGTTTTGGTCACCCTAGCACTTGGTCCACAAGAGAAACTTAACGAATAACTGTTTGTTGAATTACTGAATGCCAACCAGAGGAAGGAAAATGTCAGTATTTTTCCCTCACAAATTGGAAAGAACCCAACCCTGAGAAGCTCGCCCACGATTGTTCTTGAATTTGTTTGTGACAGCAAGGAGTAATGCCGCGTAAGAAAGGAGAAATGTCTTTTCAAAAGAGGGCTGTTTTCCGTCTAGGGTACCTGCTGAGTCTGGCAGGGGCCTGCTCTTCGGGCACCCTGAGCCAGGCAGACGGCCCCTCCAGGCTAGCAGCTCCTCCAGCAGATGAATACCTACTCCATCCTCAAAGCAGAAAGGAGAAAATTTAAACACAGAGTCACTTAATTTTGGATTGTTTTTTGGCTCTCCTCAGRCCACTCAGCAACAAGAATGATGGGCTCAAAGCCCAGCAAGGATGAGAGAAAAGCATTTCTCTTGTGTGTGTTTTTACAAGGCCAAACACTCCTATAGCTCTCCCAGCGAGAGGTGAATAAATTGGAGATGTCTGCCTGTTCTTTGATTTCAGTGCTGAAATAAGAAGGAAACATAACTCTTGTCATGTTAAAGGAAGGGTTTTGATTATGTTTAGACCAACACTTAAGACCCCCGAGCTAAACAGTACTGTGGAAGCAGTTCTAAGAGTCTTGATGGGTATCTTTTGATGGCTTCGTTTTGATATTGATTTTTTTTTAATCCTTGTTGTTGATTGATCAATGTGGAAGTCAGAAGTATCTGAATTCTTCTTGTCTAACCTTACAGTTTAAATAAAACATACCACAAGTCTGAAGTAATGAGTTAAAGAAAATAAGACACATTTCTTTACTGTGATACCACTCAGAACCTTTGATACTCTATAAAGTATTTTATAAAGCTCCAAGTGAGAGCGATACTGTACATCAATTTAAAAATTTATTTGAGTTTGTAACTTCCCTTCTCAGATGTAGCTATTAATAACATCTAGAAGAAAGTGCCACGGAGCAGCAGTTTGGGAACCTAATTAG